GAGAGACCTCAAGTGATATCTCCTACCTGAGCCCTACATGAATTTCTGACTCCAGGAAATACAGTTTAACCAGCACCCACTACTGATGTTACAAAAGCATAGCAAGTCTTGAAAGCCTTATACAAACCTCCACTAATAATTAGAGTATAAATTCAGTTAGGCCTGATTATTTTTGCTTTGGTCTCATTTACGATTTTCCCATATTCTTCCTGCTTTCATTGGAATCTATGCAGCTTTTCTTGCTCATATTTTAAGATACTGAGCTCTTTGCCAGCAAAGCCAACCTGGTCCCCACAATGGCCTGCCTCTTCTCTCCCTCAGGGGCCCTGGTGGACTGGTCAAAACTCTGTCGGTCAAAGGTGATAGAAACCTGACTCAAACTAGTTTAACAAAGATAGGAAGAAGGATGTATTGGTCTAGTACCTGCAAATCCAGAGGTTGAGTTAGCTTTAGCAGGGCTACATCCAGAAGTTCAGAAAATATTTTCAGGTCTTTTTCTCATTCTCATATTCATATTCACATTATCTCTCTCTCCCACTCCCATATCTTCCTCCTTTTCTCTCTCCTTCTTGCTTCTTCACCATACTTCTTGCATTGCCAGGATTCATCTTCAGGTTCTTATTGATAGTATCAAAATAGCCACCAACCACTCTATGCTCAGATGCTACCAGCTCAGCCACCAGAACAGAAATAGTAGCTTCTCCTCAAGCTTCTTGAAGAAAAATCCCAAGAAGTACTCTCATTGCCCTGGCTTGGGGCCCTGGATTGAGATTGACCAAATCACTGTAGCCAAGGAGATGGGCTGGTCCTGCTGCCAGGACTCCAGCACCTGCACATCCCTGTGGTCAGGGTTAGCTCCACTCAAGCCACATGGGCTGGTTTCCCTTGGACCAGGTAGGAGTACACCCTTGATTCAATCCACTTTGTCATGAGGAGAGAGGGAAGGAAAAGGGATGTGGTATTAGGGCTGACTACTGGTGAGACTGGTAAAATTCCAGGAGTATGGTACAACTTAAGCTGGGTAGGGTAGTTAGACAAGACCATATGTTTCTCACAGGAGCATTTCAAAGGAAACATGGGAAAGGGAAATGGATAGATAAAATAACAACTTCCCTTTGAACCTCCTTTATTCATCTCTTGATCCCCAAGGCAGGCCCAGCCACTCCTTAGACTTTTGGACTGTTCTTGCCTTCAAGTGCTTCAGTTTTAAGGCAACCTTGCCCAAACCATATTCTGACATTCCTCCTCAGTTCTACTGCTAGTAATTCCGCCTAATTTGAAGAAATGACACAATATCCCAGTTTCTTCAAGACAGGGCGATGATAACCAGTCTTTGCACAGATAGGAATGACAGCGAAGAAACTCAGTCCAGAGGCCAAGACCCTGCTCCTTCCTCTCACAGTGTCCTATCTTATAGAAGCTAAATCTATAGAGTTGCTGAAAGCCAGAGTGATTATCTCTGTCACTTGTATATTCTACTCTCTACCTAGTGTTGTAGACTGGCTTCCCTCACTTACTCATTTGTAAGTCCCCAAATGGCAGACTAAGCCACAAGGTCTGTACAACCTTTCAGCTCAAGTACGTACCAACCACTGGTCTTCCATCAAGTTGGTCACAAACATCGGTGGCAGAATATGAACCATTGATTCTCATGAATCTGTATGTCAGCTGGGAGTTAGCTGACCTTAACTGGCTCATTTTGGTGGCTATGTTGCACATGTGTACATTCTAAGACCCAGGCTACAGGGGTAGCCATGCAGAAGATGTTCTTCTCATGGGATGATCCCTGCCAAAGAGAAAAGGGTGAGCAGAAACACACAAGGCCTCTTAAAGCTTAGGCTCATAATGGCACATTGACACTTCCACCTATGTGCCATTGGCCAACACAAGTTACAAAGCAAGCCCAAAATCACAGAAAGTACTCTCTGCCATAAAGAGACCATGATAAGGATATCATGCAAGGATGTGTAAAAAAAAATGGGGCTAATAACTGTATCTTCTATGAAGAAAATCTGATTGGCCTAGTTCTACTTTATAGGGTCAGGATCAAAGTATCCAATTCCAGTCTACCACTGTGATCCAGGGGGTGGGGAAGTTGGAAGACAGGAAAATTCCAGGGATGTAGGGTCAAAGGCTGTGAGTGGGGTAGTTCAATTAGATTGTAAGGTGATCTTGGGAGGAACACTGACTGACATGACTGGTAGGGCATTTTCCACTTCTCCAATGGACAAAATTCTACTCCATAAGATGGACAGTATGTGTCTGAGCAATTAGAGTCTCTTTCATATTGCAGAGAAAATATCAAAGGGGTCACAGGCACTGTAATTTCACCTTATTTACTTCTAAATTCATTTTAGGTCATTCTTTGAGAGGTTGATTATACCCAAGCTTTCTCACTCATGGACTCTCAGAATTACATTAATTCTATTACAGATAAGCCTTGAATAACTAACAATAATAAACCAATGAATACTATTATTTTCATTACCTAGCTCAGGTTCTAAGTCTGGCTAAGGCTCCAAGAGTAAGTGTGTAGGAGGGCTGGTTTTCCATCTGGGATGCCAATTTTGGACATAGTCTTATCTTAATACCAGTTATCAGTTGGTCAAAATGACTTGTCTCTCACCCATTCTTTGGGCCTATATTAGATGTCATCTCATCTGGGCAGCTTTCCTCAACCCCACTCCCAAGTCTAGTCTGGTGCCCCTGATCTGTGCTTGCACCAGTCTCTGTACCTTCTCAAACTATTTTGTAATTGGTGCTTTATTCATCAGTTGCTCTCATTCCACTCTCCACTTTCTCAAATTCTTGAAGTAGACAGTGTCTTATGCACCATTATATTGGGCATGGGGCCTGGGACACAGAAGAAGCTCTAAAGAACTTAATGACTGAGCCTGGAGCTAAATGACCTGGAGTCACTCATTGCTATGAACAACTGATCTCTCCTCTATTTTGTAAGACGAGAGCTTTGGCAATTTAGCTTATTCTTAATCTTGGTGTCCATCCATGATGATGCAGAGTCAGTTCTGAGGTTTATTGTCAGTAGTCATCATTGATTATAGTTTCAACATGTTCAAAAAAAGATTTGTTTTTTACAAGGTAAGATTATTACTTTTTATGTAACTAAAAGAAAAGGTTCAAATGTATTTGTTAAAATAATGCCACACTTATATGCTGGCATTCTTCTATGATTTTTTAAAAGAAGAATATTACAATCAGTCATCACACACAAGAAATTCTTTGGTGAGTCCATGGGACCATGTTACTCTCATCAACATCACTCTTCATACGTATCACAGTGGGAAAACAATATAAATCCTCATGTCCAACAGATCCCAAAATCACTTTCAAATAGGAATCCAAAGAAAAACTCTTCCACCTATTTATATTTTAGCCTCATCATCTTGGTGTACCAGAAGTAACACCACTAATAAAATTTTGTTGAGATGTTATCTAGGATTTTTTTAAACTTAAAATTACATAGAAGGAAATAAATGCTAAATGAAAATGAAACTTTCAGTACAAGTTTAAGGGCTGTCTATACAATTCCAGTTGGAAAAAAAAATCGCTTTTCTGTACATTTTCATCCTCTTTGAGATCAAGGAGAATTGAGGAAATTGTCAGGAAGACACCTCAATTTAGGATAAGGAAATTTAAGATAGGAAACCCACTCAATTTTCTTTTTCCCCTTTGATTCATGGTCACCCTAACAAGGTCAAATGCAAAACAAGAGAAGCCTCTGAAGTTAACATGTGCCCTGTAATGGTTCACCAGGATAAGCAAGTAGGCAAAGGGAGATGGTAATGAGTGTTACCATTAAAATCGTGTTGGGAAAAAAAATGTTTTTTTTCTACTTAGTTTTACAATAATAGTAACAGAATAAAATAGTAATAAAAACAACCTTTTAAATGGTTACTCTGTGCCACTCACAGTTCTTAATGCTTTTCACTTTACTAGCTAGTCTAATCTACAAGCACCCTATGAGGTATATACCATTATCCCCATACCTCATAGTGGGGAAACTGAAGCACAGATAGATTAATTAATATACCCAAGGCCACAGAGATAGCCAATAATAGGGCTAGACTTTAAACTGGAATTAGAATTGGAATCTGGATACAGAGCTCTTGCATCTCCCTAATAATGCTCCATCTAAAGAATTAGGAACAACTGTGAGATATACACAAGAATAGGACAATCATATGTCAAGTATGCTTTAGCACCTTTTCCATTTATTTTGACCATTCTCCTAGCTCAAATCTAAAAAGAGATCAAAAATTATTATAGACAAAGTCAAAGCCTATTCATCTACTCTGTCTGACTATTGAGGCATCATCTGGGATGTGTTTTCTTTCTCTTACTACTATTGAGAACCTTCACACACAGTTATACCATTCAAATGCAAAGCATGAATGAGAGATAGGAAATGAAAACTACCTTTCATATAAACAAATTTCAATCAATCCCTGAGCATAAAAAGTGTCTTTAGAATCAGGACACCTAACAACTTCGATTATGCTTATCTGATGATCTTAGCATATTGTTTTAACTTAGTGGTTAAAAGCCTAGGGTTGGAAATCAAACACATCTGATCCTATTTGTATCTCACTGGATAATTCATCTCTGAGTCTTTATGTCTTCTTTTGTGAAATAGAGATAAAAGTGCTGCCCTCATACAATTACTGTGAGGGTTAAATAAAAGTAAAACACTTAACTCATTGTCTGGTATATAGCAAATGCTTAACAAATACTAGTTGAATTAAAAACAAATTGTGAAGGCATGATGCCAGCAAAAAGGAAGAGTAGGTAGATCCAAAGTCCTGTCCTTCCACAGAAATGCCTAAGAGATGAGTAAAACTGACCAGAATTAATATTGTAGGAACTCTGGAAAACAGTCAAAAGTTTACAACAGCCAAGCAAATGCTGAATCAAGAAAGACAATTTTTAAATGGTAGGAGACCTTTGCAGTGTTTTTCACTTGCCCTTGCCCCATCCCCTACCTGGCTTGGTGACAGTCTTGAAGACAGCAGCACATGCTTATTTCTTATTACAGCAGAAAACAGCAGAATTTATTCTCAAAAAACTGTGTTTGTCTGTCTGACCTGTAGGGTGACTGACACAAGACAGTTACCTTTGTTTAGCCTAACTCAGAACTTTCTCAGGGCTAAAAAGAGGCTACACAGAGGGTATTCATTAAAAATGCCAAATGCAAATGAACAACCCACTGCTGCCTTGGGCAAAAGATTACAGTTGAAGTAAACATTAGATACAAAAAAAGCTTGGTGGGGAAAGCTGAAGAGTGAGATTCTTGAAGAATTCAAACACTGAAAAATGCCTATGAACACTGGAGAATTTAGAAAGTCACACATTCCCAGGGTAGAACTGTTGTTCAGAAAAGACCTGGGAATTTCTTAAGTATTCACCTAAGGTTTATCTTTAGGCTCAGCACAAGCAAGAAGTAAAGGATAAAGCAGAGTTATAAACAACCTAGGGTAGGTAAGCAATGAAGGAATACTCAAATAGAGCCAATCTTCAAAGACTAAGAGAGGTTCTTTTTATCCTTTTATTTTTACTCCAGGCATTCAAGGAAATCTCTGTCAAAGCACAGGTTAAAATAACAGACTTCAGAGACTAAAAAAGCAAAAGAAGATGTCCTTTAAAAAATAGTTTAGAAAAGTCACAAAACAAAGAAGCAAATACAACCCAGAGCAAACAACAAACAATCCCTGAGGAGGGGGAAGAACCTCATTTCCAGAGTTACCACACTGTAATACTCAAAGTGTTGAGTTTCCACCAAAAATTTTAAAAAAAGCAAAGAAACAACAAAGTATGGCCCATTCACCAGAGAATTTAACAAAAATTGTTCTAGAGGGAGAAAGACATTGGACTACTAGACAAAGACTTTAAATCAACTAATTAAAATATTCTCAGAGGTAAAGGAAACCAAGAGAATGATGTATGACTAGCATTCTCTAATTAGACAATATCAACAAAAAGATAAATGGAAATTATAAAAAGAAACAAACAAATTATAGAACTGAAAAATACAATAACAAATGAAAAACTCACTGGAGGATCTCAACTATAATTTGAACAGGCAGAAGAATCAGTGAACTGCAACATAGGTCAATTGAAAGGATCCAGTCTGAGAAGCAGAGAAGGGAAGTAAATGAAGAAAATGAACAGAGTCTAAGAGATCTATGGGTCATCATCAAGCAGACATATGCAAATGGGATTCCCAGAAGAAATGGAGAGAGAGGTGCAGAATGTTTGAGGAAATAACAGCCCAAATCCTCCTAAATTTGATAAGTGTTAAATCTCCACATCTAAGAAGCCCAACAAATTGCAAATAGGATAAATGGAAGGAGATTCACACCAAGACACATTATAATCAAACTGTTAAAAGACAAAGAGATAATCTTGAAAGCATCAAGAGAGAAGTGACTTGTTATGTACAAGGGTTCATTACTAAGATGAAGAGCTGATTACTCAGAAGAAGCCATGAATGACATATTTAAAGTGCTATAAGAAAAAACAGAATTCTATATCCAGCAAAGTACTTCACAAATGAAGGAGAAATTAAGACATTCACAGATAAATGAAAACTGAAGGAATTCACCATTAGCAGACTTGCTGTAAAAGAAATTCTAAAAGGAGTCCTTTGGGAAGAAAGGAAAGGATATTAGACAGTTACTCAAAACCATATAAAGAAATAAGGAACACTAGTAAAAGTAACTATAAAGGTAAATGCAAAAGCCATTATTGTTGTATTTTTGGTGTGTAACCCCTCTTTTTTTCCTATATGATTTAAGAAACAAATGCTCACCACAATAATTATAAATTTATGTTATTGGACACAGAATATATAAAGATGTAATTTATGACAACAACATAAAGTGGGAGAGATAGCTGTATAGGAGTAGAGTTGTGTATACTATTGAAGATAAGGCAATAACTCAAAATATGTTGTTACAAATTTAAGAGGTTAAAGTAGTCCTCAGAATTACCACTCAGAAAATAATGAAACTATATATATAAAGAAAAGGAAATGAGAAGGAACCAAAATTGTATACTGCAAAAAGTCAAACACAAAACAATGTAGCAATGCAGGAATTGAGGAACAAAAAGGATGTAAGACTATAGGAAACAAATAGAAAAATATTAGAACTAAGTCCCTCTTTATTGTTAGATAAGAGATTAAATATCCAATTAAAAGGCAAAGATTAGAAGAATAGATTTTAAATATGATTCAACTATATGTTATCTACAAGAGACTCACTTTAGATGCAAAGACACAAATAAGGTGAAAGTGAAAAGATGGGAAAAATATTATATGCCTGCAGTAACCAAAAGAGGAATGGAGTAGCTATACAAATATCAGACAAAATACACTTTAAGTAAAAAACTGTTACTAAAGACAAAGAACTTTATATATTGATAAGAGGGCCAGTTCTTCAGGAAGATACAATTACAAACCTACATGCACCTAACAACAGAACTATATGGGGAAAAATGTGATAGAACTGAAGGGAGAGAGAATTCTACAATAATGGTTGGGTACTTCAAAATCCCAATTTCAATAATGGATAGAACAAAACAGATGAATAAGGAAATAGAGGACTTGAACAATATATAAACCAACTCAACCTAAAAGGCAAACAGAACACTACACTCAAAAACAGCATAATACACATTTTTCTTAAGTGCACATGACACATTCTCCAAGATAGACCACATTTTAGGCCAAAAAAAAAAACAAGTCTCAATAAACAAATCATACAAAATATCTTCCTCAAACAAAAGGGAAGTTAAAAAATACTTTGAGATGAGTGAAAATGAAAGTACAACATACCAATTATGGCATGCAAAGAAAGTAGTGCTCAGAAGGAAATTTACAGCCATAAACATTCACACTTAAAAAGGAGAAGGAAATCAATGACCTGACTTTACACCTTAAGGAACTACAAAACAAGAGAAAACTAAAACCAAAGCCAACAAAAGGAAGGAATTAATAAGGATTGGAGTGAAATTAAGTAAGAAAAAGAACACAAAATACAGAAAATTAATGAAAACAAAAGTTGGTTCTTTGAAAAGATGAAAAAAATTGACAAATCTTTAGCTAGATTAACTGGGGAAAAAAGAGAAGACTGAAATTACTAAATGAAAGTGAGAACATTGCTGCCAACCTACAGAATATTTTTTAAAAAAAGGAGGATAAGAATTAATCAGTAGTGAAACCAGTAGTCAAAATCCTATCAACAAAGAAATACTCAGGACTTCACTGATAAATTCTACCAATCGTTTAGAGAAGAATTCCCAGCAATTCTCAAATTCTTCAAAAAAAATAAAAGAGGAGAGAGTACTTTACAACTCAATTTCTGATACCACAGACAGTAAAACTACAAGCCAGTATTCTTTATGAATATAGATGCCAAAAGCTCAATAAAATATCAGCAAACCAAATCCAGCAGCATATTAAAATAATTATATACCATGACCAAATGGGATTTATCCCAGGAGTATAAGGGTGGTCCAACATATGAAAACCAGTATAATACACCACATCAATAGAATGAAGGGGGAAAACACACACACACAATCATTTCAATTGTTGTAGAAAAAGCACTTGACAAAATCCAACACTCTTTCATGATAGAAACACTTAAACTAGGAACTTAAGGGAAATTCCTCAACCTGATCAAGGGAATTCATGGAAAACCCAGAACTAACATCATAATTAATCATGAAAGACTTAAAGTCTTACCCTATAAGATCTGGAATAGATCAAGGATACTGACTTTTGCCATTTCTATTCAATATGGTACTAGAAGTTCTAGCCAGAGCAATTAGGAAAGAAAAAAATGTATTTATATTACAAAGAAAGAAGCAAAATTATCTCTTTTGTAAGATAATGTGACTATATATGGAAAATCCTGAAGTATCTAAAAACACAAAATATTAGAGCTAATAAATAAATTTATCAAAACTGTAGGCTATAAGTTCAACATATAAAAATCATTGTGTTGCTATACACAGCAATGAACAATCTGAAAGCAATCCCATTTATGATAGCATCCTAAAGAATAAAATACTTAGAATTAATTTAACCAAGTCTGTGAAAGATTTATATACACTGAAAACTATAAAAAAATAACTGAACAAAACAAAGAAACATGTAAATACACGGAATGATAAACTGTATTCATGGGTTAGAAGATTTAATATTGTTAAGATGGCAATATTTCCCAAAACCATCTACACAATCAATGCTATCCCTAATGAAATTCTAATATGAGCTATCACTTTACACCCATTAAGCTGTTATTAAAAAAATGAAACTATTAGAGATGATGTCGAGAAATTGGAACCCTTCTATGTGGCTGGTGAGAATGTAAAATTGTGGTTTCACTGGAAAAGCTTCTGGTCGTCCCTCAGAATGTCAAACATAGAATTACCAAATGACCTAGCAATTCCTCTCCTACATAAACACCCAAAAAAGTTGAAAACAGGTACTCAAACAAATACATCACCAATATTCATAGTAACACTATTCACTGTAGCCAAAAGGTGAAAACAGACTAAATGTCCATCAACAGATGTGGTGTATATATACAATAGAATATGATTCAGCCACGAAAAGGAATGAAGTACCAATACATGCTACAACATGAATGGACTTTGAAAACATTATGCTAAGTGAAAAAAGCAAGACCAAAAAGGTCTTATATTATATGACTTCATTTGTTTGAAAAATCTAGAATAGGTAAATTCAGAGACAGAAAGCAGAATGGGTTGCCAGAGTCTATGGGGAGGGAGAATGGGAAGTGACTGCTTAATGGATAAGGGTTTTATTTTAGAATGATGTAAATGTTTTGTAATTTGATAGAGGTGCTGTTTGCACAATATTGTGAATGCACTAAATACCAAGTGTAATTGTATACTTGAAAATGGTTAATTTTATATTATGTGAATAAGAAAAAGCAAGATGTGACTATTAATAGTAAATTTTTTTTAATGTAGCAGTGACTGGGCAACCTTAGGGTTTCCACTGAGATTATCACCCTGGTTATGAGCCAGGTGGAATAGATACTTCCAGAAGAAAAAGTGCCTTAACCAGTTGTAATGGATCACCAGAAATTGTAAGACTCACAGGGCAGTGTACATTAGCCATCCTAGACTCCAGAAGAACTGCAGTCTATGTGATCCTATTCTCAAATAATTCTTTTAATCTAATCTGCTAATGGTTCTTCCATTCATACCAGATGTAGTGGGGACATTGGGAAGTTGAGAATGGAGGCCATTCTAGTTTCTCCTAACAACACTACCTTGCTACTGGTATATCTCCCAGCCTCTTGCAAACTCCAGTAAGTTAAAACACCCATTCCCTATCAATGAATTGATCAACAATGGCTCCTAGAATCCAATGCAGATTCAGAATTCAGAAGAGCTGTTTCTTCCCCCAGAATGACACAGCTTCCCAAGTCATTGGCATAGACTCAAGAGCAATTCTGCAAATTTTGGTTAATATTTTCTCAACCTCCATACTGCATCAGGTGCCAGTCTTATTACACTTTCCAGATTAGATAACGCATGTCTCCCAGATCCTTCTTACAAATTTCATTCCCCTAAGTGCATCAGGCGAACAGGATCTGCACCTTTGGACAGTCACATAGCCCTTCTAAATTACTTGCCGGAGGTCTACATGGCAAGGAACTGCAGCCTGTTGCCAACATCAAACAAGGAACTAAGGCTTCCTGCCAATAACCATGTGAGGAAGCCATCTTGGAAGATGATCCTCTAGCCTAGTCAAACCTTCAAATGACTACAGCCCTGACCAACATCCTGACTTCAAACTCAGGGAAAGTCTGACAGCCAAAGCTACCAAGCTAAGCAGCTCCTGAATTCTTGACCCTTAGAATCTGCAAGAAATAATAAATATTATACTTTCAAATCATTAAGTTTTAGAGTAATTTGTTAGACAGCATCAAATAACTATTGTAAAAGGCTAACTTGTCTTTTCCAATAATCAATGCCAAATAACGTTACTCCAAAATTTGTGGTGAAAAACAACAATATTTATTCTGTTCACAAATATTCAATTTGGGGAAGGTTTTATGGGGACATTTTATCTCTGTTCCACTCTTCTCCATAATGTCCAAGGCTTCAGCTGGAAGACTCAAAAGCTGGGGGCTGGAAACTTCCAAGGCCTCACTCAGTCCCATGTCTGGTGGTTAATGCCAGGTATCAGTTGAGGATTCAAGCTCCTCTCCAAATGGGCTGCTCCACATGATCTCCCTGCATGGGCTTGTTGAGCCTTCTTTACGAATGGTGGCTGGGTACTATGAGCTGGAGTCCTGAGAATGAGAAAGAATAAGATAGACACCATATTGTCTTTTATAATCTAACCTTGGAGGTCACACAGTATCACTTCTGCTGCATTCTGTTAGTGAAGGAAATTACAAAAGTTTTCCCAAGTTCAAAGGGAGAGAACATAGATCCCCATCTCTCAATGGAGGAGTAGTAGCATTGCATTGGTAAGAGTATGTGGGATGTGGTATATATTAACATAGCCATCTTTGGAAAATACAATCTGCCACACTTGTCAAAGACTAATTCCCTGCAAATTGGCCTCTCAGAAAAGAAGTTAGCCTCTAGCAAATCTCCATGAAAACCAGCCATGTTCCAGTAATAAGCACAATTAACCCTGCTCAATTGTAGGCCCGGACTCCAGCTTCACAATTATGCCAGGGAAAGGACAACTTCTTTCTAACCATGAACGGTGAAGTGGCGAATCTCAGCACTACTTTGCCATGTCATACACCTATAACTATAAATGTTGGACCCCAGCGTCCTTATCTTACTAGGGGAGGGGCCAGTGCTTCTCTAATTCTATTAGCCAGGATTTCACCATAAAAGCAAAACCAGTAGGAGATGACAGATGGATAGATAGGGATACGATTTTATTACAGAGGATTTGCTTACACAATTGTGGGAACTGATTAAGCAGTCTCTGTAAGGCAGTCTCCATGTCTGACGCTGGATCTTGAAGTCTGCAGGGCAAGCAGTTAGGAAAGATAGAACATAAGCAGGCTGGAATGCCATGAACACAAGCTGAAAACTGACAAGGATCGTCTAAATTCATATCTATTCCTGTTACCTCTGGAGAAAGCGGGGCCCTTCATCAAAGAGCCAAAACACACACCTAGCCCAGCTGATGTTTCACATCAATGAAGTGAATAAGCAGATCAGCAACAACATGCGTCTGCTACAAAATGGTGGCTTCCTCCTTTTTAGTCTTCTAAATCTCTCCAGAATCTCCCTTGTGGCCCACTTGAACTGGAAATATACAAAATATAGTTTGAAGTATCACATGCTTCTGAAAATGATGAAGCTGCTTGTGCAGGAAGCCCCAGATTATTAGATGATAATGTTGAGAAAAATCCAATAGTGTTAAACACAAAAAGAAGTTATCAGATCTTAGGATATTAAAACTAATTTTTTTCAATCAGTAGGTTGTTTTCCTATTCATATATTTTCATTCATTTTTCATATTTTCATACATATTTTATAATATATTTTGCATATTACATAAACAAAAGGATATCCTTGTGTCTAAATAAGAGTGTTGTAAGTAGATAGCAATTAAAGAATTATGGAATTATCTATCTAATTTTCATTACCATAAAATTTTATATAAAGAATCACCTATCTTAGGTAATCAGCAGAAATAAATACAAAGGAAAGCATTATTTTATTCGGTAGATAAAGAAGACAAGCATGACCTATCGGAGAGATCAAACACTTCTCCACCAGTAATCTTCAATCTAACATACACATTTCAAAAAGTTTTACTACATGCAATCATTTCCCCTGTATTAAAAAATTCTTCCAGGCAACAGTTTCTTCTTTTACTAAGTGTTGACACCTTCTAAAGTTATTATGACACAAAACTATTCCTTTCTACTGCTGCAAACACTAAACAACCATAAGAACTGAATAAGCTTTGTGCCTCCTTCTAAGGGTTCCCCCGTCTTCCAGTTCTAAGGCAAGAAAGATATTATGGCAGAGCCATTTGATCCTGTTTCTATTTTAAATTATTTTCAGTAAAATCTTCATCCTTGAAATGGGCTTAAATAAAATACTAATTATTAAAATGTGTTTGTGGGTGTGTTTGTTAGAGAGGATGAAGTTTTGTAGGTGTGAGTGTATGTGTGTGTTTTCTAACTCCCTTACCACTATCACCAGAAATTCATGGACAAATATTTCATTTTAGCATTTCATCAGATTCTCTAGAATTATTTTCTATTATAAACCACATTTGAGCATGACTTCAACAAGTACTTTGATGCATAAATGTAATGTAATTTAAATTACCATAATGTGAATCCATAATTACTCAGTTCACTGGGCTACTCATTCTGCCTCCTTATTCCTGCCCCATAGGATCAGAGTCAATAATGTCAGGAAACATAAAAAATAAGTGCAACAGTCATTAATACATTTATGAATTGTGTAACAGTGTGAGTCAACTGGATAAATATTTTCAACAAGCATTTACTGAGCACTTGTACTGTTCTCACCATGGTAAGAAGATGAAGACTCTTCCCTTAAAAAATTGATGGTGCAGGTGAAGAAAAATTCCTGTGCTTTTTTGCATTTCATGTCATTCCCTCCTTTGCCATGGACACTTTGTCTGAAGCATCCCTATTTAGCCCTTACTCAAGAGGGAGAGCCACATAGAATAGACCCACCTAAAAACCTACAGTGGCCATGCAGCATGAGTAAGCATTGACACTGAGGTCAAGTAGTAAATATTTTAGGCTTTGTGGGCCATGCAATCTGTGTTACAACTACTCAACTTTGCCCTTGTAGCCTGAAAACTATCTTACACAAAATTAAAGAAAGGAATGTGGCTGTGTTCCAGTAAAACTTTATTTACACAAACATGTAGCAAGACATATGTGGCCTGAGGACCAGAGTTTTGGGGCCCGTGGCTTAAAACCCTCTATGTATATGGAGAAGTAATAGAATTTAATGGCTAAACCATGGGCTCTGGAGCCAGATAGCATGTTTTCTAATTTTGTCTGTGCCACTTAAAAGCTGTGGACCTTGAACAAGTCATATAACACTCTGTGTCTGTTACCATTATTCATCTGTGAAATAGAGATTATAATATACATGTATGTGTATGGAGCTTTTGTGAGCTGTAAATGAGTTAACAGATTTTAATGAGTTTAGAAAAGTGCCTGGTACGTAAGTGCTATATAAGGGTTAGCTAATATCACTATGTAGCACTCTTATTCCAGGAGACTTATTATATTGTTTCTTTAGGCCAAGGATGCAGGAATTAAACAAGGGCCACAGACAGAATTAACTTCAATAAAAGTGTTAAAGGGCTTGAAACTGAGAACACCAAGTTTAATCTAAGTAAGGAAAAGGGTAGTTCACTATGAGAAAGAAGGGTATAGGAGTATAACAATAAGTAACCAGATGTTTTCACTGTGGGATATTATAAAAAGGGGATAAAGGAGAAAATTGTAAAAGGGAGAAAGAATATAGGAAATGACCAGAGTAAAGGAAGGAAAAAGAGGTAAACAACTATAGTGTACAATGGAGGGGTGTCTAAGTTATAGCCCAGCTCTTGACTCCTGGGTGCCAATGGCAGGCTCCCTGTTGTTCTGGTTGCACAAAGGTTCTACTTGGTCTCATGGAATTAATGTTGGGTATAAATGTCAAGACTGACAGTCAGGTCCTGGAAACCAAGATTTAAACTCCTGCAAGATAGAGACAAGACAAGACAGAGATTGCTTCAGGTTCTCAGAAGAGTGCCTGGATGGACAAGAGAATTCATAATTAGCTAGGACCAAGTCAGGCTGACTAGCCTCTGCCCTGAGACCCTTATGTGACATGGGTAAGAAAGAATGCTTTTTAGTATGATGCTAGGTAATGCCTCCTATATGCTTTCTGTATCAGTTAGGCTGAGTTGGGTAATGTTTCATTAACAAATAACCCCCAAATCACATCAGCTTAAAATGACAAAAGTTTATTTTTCACTCATGCTTACTCATGGTACATGGCCACTGTAGGTTTTTAGGTGGGTCTATTCCATGTGGCTCTCCCTCTTGAGACCTAGACTGATACAGGAGATATGGTGGAACATTACTTATCATTTTGACAGAGAGAAAGGGACTCCAGAAGGTCTTGCATTGGCAACTTAATGTTTCAGCTTGAAAGTGATACTCAGTTTATAAGCCTGAGTTAATCATGTAGCTTGACCCAAGCACAAGAGGACAACCCTATTAAGTGCTGACACACTGGAGAGCTAGAAGTATTTGGTAAGCAGCAAGCAACTAATGACTTCCACAGTTTTCAATCTAAAACGGAGAGTATTTATCCCAGCTTTCTTCAGAGAATATACTTGGAAAATATTCAAAAAGTCAGCCTTGGGAGTCTCCAGAATGAATTGTAAACACTACCAGGAAGAGAAGCCCTCTTCCTCCAAAGCCATGGCAAGTTGAGTAAACTCTGAAAGTTATAACTGCTATGGATGTCACCACACATGGGCATGGCAACAGCACTGGCAACAGACCTAGAATAGCTAACTTACAGTTAGGTAACAGCCAGCCACCCAGAACCCACAAGGAGAAAGTAGGAATAGGGTGGCATGTAGAAGGGGAACTTGAAGTCCCAGTGTTTCTCTTTGTGGGAATTTAAAGCCGCAGGTTGGCAAAATTACCTCCTTGTCCTTGAGGCTGCAAAGGGCTGAGGCAATGAAGGGTCTGTTAATCCTACCTCCTAATAGATACAGGGCTGCTACGATTTGTTTAAGAGGCTTGTGTTTTGCCTAGAATCTGGCAGGAGATGGTAGAGTAAATATGATATACTTCCAAGTAACCCATGGACTGAAAACATTTTGAATTGAAAGAAAATAAAAATGTGAAAAATCAAAATGTGTGGCATGCAGTTGAAGCAGTGTTTAGAAAGGAAATGCATACCATGAAATGTTTATATAGAAAAAAAGATAAGTCTCAAATCATGATCCAAGCTTCAAATTTAAGAAACAAAAGGAAGAATTAAGTCCAAAGCAAACAGAAGGAAGAAAACAATAAACCTGAGGTCAGAAATCAATGAAATTGAAACAGAAGAACAGAGAAAAATCAATGAAACCCTTACAAAAAAATATAAAAGAAATTCTTCAGAAAGCAGCTATCTACATAGAGAAAGGAAGAACATTAGAAAAGGAATAAATGAAGATGAAAAGCAGTTGTCCATACATATGTGGGTCCAGTTCTTGAATCTCTCTTCTGTTACATTGATCTGTTTGTCTATCTTAATGTCAGCATCACACTGACTTGATGACTGTAGCATTATGATAAGCCTTGAAATTATTAGGTAGTGTTAGTGCTCCAACTTTGATCTTTTGCAAAACTCTTTTGGTTATTCTAGGTCCTTTCCTTTTCTGTTTGAATTTGAGAATCATCTTATACAAAAAGCCTAAAATTTAATTTGGATTGCATTAAATCTATAAATCAACTTGGAAACTGATATCTAACCAGTATCGAGCCTTCCAACCAAAGAACACGGTATGTTTCTCCATTTATTTAGTTATTTAGTTTCGCGTAGCAATGTTTTGATGTTTTCAGTGTAAAGGCTGTACTCAGCAGAGTTCTGAGATGGCCCCAGAAAAAGCACTTCCTGGTATACATGCCTTCCCTTTGAATGTGGGATTTCACTCCTGAAGTAGATTACTAATCAGCTGATTTAGAATTAATAAACAGGGAGATGATTTTGTGTGGGCCTGGCTACATTAGGGGAGATAGTAAAAGAGGATGATGTGCCAGAGAGAAAGACTCCTACTGGCCTCCAAGAAGATGAAAGCTTCCATGAGTTCTGCAGCTGCAAGGAACTAAATTCTGTCTGTAAGCTTGAGTGAGCTTGTAACAGATTCCCAAGCACCAGATGAGACCACAGCGCCCGCTGACTCCTTGATTGCAGCCTTGTGAAGCAGAGTGTTCAGTCAAGTTTGCCCAGACTCTGAATATACTGAGATTAAATAAACAGGTGTTTTCCTAAGCCAAAACAATCAATGAAACCAAGAGCTGATTCTTTAAAAAGTGAGGTGGGGACCAAGCCCTACACACTGTTTTGTGGGGAGGGGGGTGACCAGGGGAGGGGGCGGAGGTAGAAATGGGGAGGGAGATGTAAAAAGAGTATTCCTTGACTCTGGGTTCTGTCAAGACTTTGGTAAATCTTCTGACATCCTTGGATCAAAATTTCTTAATTTCTCAAATAGATTCTTTGCCTACCTTAGAAGATGAGATAACATCATTGTAAATTGTTTGAATACAGTAATGCTTTACAAATCCAAGGCATTATTAATATTATTAATATGCCTGCACATAATGAAGAGAAGTCTGAGCAATAAGGTTACCTAAATTAATTCAGTTAATCACTGTTGGGAGGGTGGCACAGATTTATCTATTGATTGCATAAATTATCACATTTAATTCAAAACTATCTAACCCCTCAATATGCTTTGGTGATTTTTAGTCATCCTTTTAATAAAATCTAAAAAGAAGTCATACACTTATTACTTACCAAAAAATATATTCCTAATTGGACACCACTGAAATCAACTCAGTGGCCACCCAGAAACAAGAAGTAGAAATCCTTGTGACAGTGAAGGTAAAGGTTTCCATGAGGCCCTCCCTTCCAGAGTTTAAAATATCAGCCTGTCCACAGAGTTCAAACGCAAGAGAGTCTTCCTTTTCTTCCTTTTCAGTAGTAGCTGGTGATATTTGAAACTGTAAATGTCCCCCAGATGACCTGCAGTCGTGGGCAAAGAAAGACAAACACAAAAAGCATTTCCTGGGACTGGAGTCATCTAGTCCTTTGTCAAGCTAGGCTTTGTCAAGAGAGAGGCACTTCAGAAATAAGGGGACTGGTAGATTCTGTTTGAGATGACAGTGAGACAATCAAGGAAGAGATTGCTGGTGGGGACAGAGATCCCAGGAAGGTCAGGGGTAAAACAGTAGCCTTGTGTGCCATCTGCACAGCAAAATTTTGCTTAGTAAAAAACAAATGAGTGATGTTTGTGCTGCCATCCAGACTTACCAAGAAATAAAGCATACAGTCTGCAACATGTACAACTGATCTAAAGCCTAGGCTACTCTCCACAGTGAACTCTAATATGAGATATGACTCATGCATAAATATTACAATTGGAAATGTCACCTTTTCTAACAAACCTATACATTTAGGATTGCATAATTCATCACTAAATACTGAGTTAAAATTTGAATTTGTATGGATGTCCCCAATCCTAATTGATGATTTTGAGAGTTAAGAAATGAAATAAACTGTATTTTAAAAAAACATTAATACAGTCTTAGAATCCTTAAATATTACATGAACTTGGAAGCAAGTTGGTAAACTTTGAAGAAATGAAGACATTGTGTTTCTCCTCTGTGTTCTATTCCTCATGTTTGTTTGAAGAATTAAGCCTTCTTATAACAATTTGGTGATGCCTGTAGTCATCACAGCACCCAGCTTCAACTAATAATTCATGGCCACTCTTGTTTCATGCACTGCCCCATTTACTGTGCTCCCCCATCCCATGCTACTCTTTGATTTAGAAGAAAATCCAAGATTTTTTATCATGCCAACTGCAAATATCTAAATGTTCACCTCAAAAATTAATGACAATACCAATATTATGTATAAGAAGACACAATAATTTCTTAGCATCATCAAATACATTCAAACTTCCCTGATTGTCTCCTATTTGTATTTTTGCAGTGTGTTTATTGAATCAGAATCCAATTAAGATTAATATGCAGCAATTGATTTACTTATTTTAAATCTTTGAGATCCCCTGTCTCTTTTTATTTTGCAATTTTTTGTTGAGCAACCTAGACTGTATGTTCCACAATATTGTCCACAGTTGAGATTTTGCTAATTGTATCTCATGATGCTATTTAACTGTCCCCTGTGTTTCCTGTAAATTGATAATTAAAGCTAAAGTTTTGATCATACTCAGTTTGAAAATTTGCGCAAAAATTCCTGATAGGTGGTGGTGAGCATCCATTAGAAGAAAAAAAGGGCTGGTGCTCTCTCTTTTTGTGTTGTAAGTAGTCACTGATGGTCATTGTCAGGACCCAGTATTTCATTAGAGGTTGCAAAATAGTAGTGTTATAATTCTATCATCCCTTTTTCAGTTACTACCTAATACAAGGAGGAGCTTCCCCTTATCAATTATTTGATTAACATGATGTGCCTTTCATGTAGAAAAGACAAGACAAAAACAGGATTTTTCCCCATTATATTCTAGTTTTCAGAACTTCTGTTGTTTCTCTAATACATCCAAAAGAGATCTGAGGGTGACCAATCAGCTTTATTTTTTAAGTCAGAATGATCATATGGATTAAATATATAAAAATGTTTGATCCATGGCAATTGTTCTTATTCATGATCAAATTGTCCCTCCTCAAGAGACATTTGTTTCCTTTAGAGAAGCTCATAATAGTCTGAAAGCTTCCTTGATTCCTAGTATAACAGGATATTGCAGGCTTATTTTGTACATATGCTGCCCGAGCTCTGATATGGGCTATTTTCCTAAGAAGCTCAGGTTCCTTTTAATGGAAAATGGTGCTTGAAGACCACAACCTGAACATCAGGGATGTTCAACATTACTGGGTTGATCAATGCTTTTTAGATCTTTTCAGCCTTCAAAGCTAGAAAATAGTTGTGTGTTTTTTTCAAAATGAAAAACAGCAAGAGTTTATGCTGATATTTCCATTTCAAATTCAAGAATACAAGGTTTTTACTTAGGCTCATCTGTATTATATCTTCTTTTTTCATGCCAAAAATCCTGATTTCAAACACCATCAACATAAATACTCATTTGCTTTATCCTACACTCACACACAACATCACCAAAATTACAACCCAACACGACCAAGATATTTTTACAGTTCTTTCTGTCCTTAGCATCTATCCCTCTAGGAATGGAAAGTCAAATTATCATGTTTAATTGCAATCATATGGAACAGTTCCTCTCTGTACAGTTATGCCAAAAATTTGTTACATAGTTTGGTTCAGCTGTTTCATGTTGCCTTTTTATTTTTAGGGATTGCTTTTTAAATTTAATTTTGCATTATAATTATGTGAAACAATTACATGCTTCCAGATTTGTATCTATAAAACAAGGTATATTCATAGAAGCCTCACTTCTACTACCCCTCCCCTGTCATCTTGTTGTGTTTCCTGCTCCCCTTTCCCATTGATAATCTTAGAATTTTTAGCTTTAGGCTTATCCTTCCTTTTTAATGGAAGTAAATATACATACATGAATATGTATATTCATAACCCCCTTTCTTAAATAAATGATAACATATACACTTCTGTACACCTTGCTTTTTCCACATGAAAATATGTGCTGGAAACCACTCCTAATAGTATATAGAGATGGAACTCTTTCCTTTCTATAGCTACATAGCACTCTGTGGTGTAAGCATATCACAATTTTTCAGTCTCCCACTGATGGAACTTGGGTTGCTTCCAATCTTCTGCTGTAATGTATTACAATAAATAACCTTACATATATGTCTTCCTATAGCTTTTACCATTATATTTTTGGGATGGATTTGTAGAAGTGGGATTAGTGATTCAAAGGGTAAATGCACATGTCATTTTGTTAGAAATGACCAAATTCGCCTTCACAGGTACATTTTGCATCTCCACCAGCAATGTATGAGAGCAAGAGCATGTGTTTTGTGTGGTAAAATCTGTGCTAATTTCAGAGATCAAAGGAAAACAAGATCTCCCTCTCAAATTGGGTTTATAGTCAGAAAGTAATCTTCCTTGTCCTCTCCTACAATCCAGTTAGCTTAATACTTCCTGTTGGCAGTCTCTGGGAATTACCCACAATGCCAATAAATTGCTCCTGTACACAGAGAGCAGTGGGAACTAATTATTTCAAGGGGCCGGAATTGGCCCACCTCACACCTTCCCAGTGGGACAGGAAGTGATACTAGCTGAACAAGCTGCATACAACTGCAGTGGCCAGAGTCCCATGGGGCAGAAGCCTAGCAGGCATGCACTTAGAATTATCACACTACATAATGGGAGCTGCAGCTACACAGGCAATAAAATAATCTGCTTTGAATGTTCTTGTCTTTATGTCACAGCCTGCTGAGACACCTACTTGGGATCCTTCCCGTCTTTGTTGTCAAATTCAGGCTTGTCTACCCTGTATCCAGGCCCCCCCAAACAAATCATCCTTCAGTCTGTTCTCCCCTGCATGGTTCCTCTGTTAGCTTAGCTGTTGCCAAGCTAAGCTGTTTGCCATTCTTTATATTTGTAAAGACTTTTTCTTCCTCTGGTGTATGGGTATAGCATTTCTGGTTTTAGGGATGAACCCTAGGGTTTGGCCAATCCACTCCATTCACCTCCTCACAAAAGCAGTCAGTGCCAAACTCCACCAGAACCCATTCTCTCTTCAGCAATTATCTCATGAACTGTTGGTCACTTGAGGACTGATGTCTCCCTACATCCACAAGAAGCTCTAAAACAATTAACAATTAACGTTATATTCTGCGTGTGGCATGGGATTAATATATGTTGGAAGCCTGACTACTTAGCGTTTAAGTTTATGGCCAATACATAGCAATCTTGGAGTTAAATCTAAAACCACAAAAGAGATTCACCATTCCCTCTGGGAAGAGTAGCAAATGAAAGATCTTTGCTCATGCACCTGGGACAGGCTGTCTCCACACACTGTGAAACCAGGGTGAAAATACCGGACTGTAAAAAGTTACCTACACAAAGTACCAATAGGAAAAATAATAAATCTCACCACAAATACTACAGATACACTGAGTTGAGAACTATCTAGTTCACAGGATGACAGCTTATTAAAAAGAGGAAAATTCAAAACTATATAACCAATATTATGAATAACTTATAAGGAAAACATATACATACATAAGATTTACATATACACATGCTTATGAAAATATGGATGTTAGCAGTATTTCTAAGTGGTGTGTTTACAGTTTTTTAATTTTTTCCTTATTTACTTTTGCTGTATACAGCACGCCTTTATAATGAGCATGCATTCCTTTCCTGATAAGGAAAAAGCCTAAGACATAAAATATTTATGTGAAATGCTGTACAGCAGTTGTGTGTTAAATACACTTCAAATACATAGATATAATGTAGAAATCTGAATTTGATCAGCGTCTAGCACACCAAAGGAGGAAAGGGAGCTTTAGAAGTGAAAGATTCTAAAATCAACTCAAAAGCAATCGTTTTTAATCCTGAGCCAATATTGGGATAGGCATTATTTATAGTCATCATTTTCGAAGATCAAAGCAGCCTTCCCTTCTGCACTGTCAAACAAAGAGAAGAGATGAACTTGCTGAATCCACATTTTAAATGCACACAGAGAATTAGCACATGGTATCTTACTTCGTTTGCAATGGTAGGATGTTGACTAGAAGAGAGACAAGGCAAAATATTAGAAACAGAAGCACAATGTCAATCTTTAATCTCTTGCCTCAATGATAAGGAGAGGTATTGCCGTGCACCTCCCTCCATCCAAGGACAATTGAATGATTCCAGTGTGTTTCTATAAGAAAGAGAAGGCCTTTAGGAGCAAACACATTTCAGGAGTGGGACTTTTTGAAGAATAAACTGACTTTCCTTCTGAAGCTTATAAAGTGGCAATGGAAGGAGGCAGTGGAAATGATAGGGGTTCAGCACTATAGGAGGGTGCTTTTTTAATGAGTTGCCCCAGGCAAACATACCTAATCAACCTCCACTAT